GAAGAAGAAGAAGAAGAAGAAGAAGAAGAAGAAGAAGAAGAAGAAGAAGAAGAAGAAGAAGAAGAGAAGAAGGAGGAGGAGGAGAAGGAGGTGGAGGAGGAGAAGAAGAAGAGGAGGGGGGGAGGAGGAGGAGGAGGAGGAGGAGGAAGAGGCGGCAATGGGGGGGGGGAGGAGGGGAGGAGGACAATTTCTGCTCCACTGTCGAGGGCCTTCGGACTGCACCTGCCAAGAACTGTGCAATCCACATGGACTCCCTCTATCCATTCAACCAAAACCCTAACACCCAGGTGAGCTACAGCCCTATTTATGCCCAAGCCTCCCCCCCACCCCCACCACACACACACACCACACACACACACACACACACACACACACACACACACACACACACACCTTAGGAGCCTAGCTCTAGTCAGGGGAGCTCAGGATCTCCAAGTAAACTCCACAGACCTGCCACAGAGATGGGGGTCTAGCCATGCATCAATGCCTGTAATCCCAGCTACTCAGGGGGCTGAGATCTGAGGATCACACTGCAAAAAGCCAGATTGGGGAAGGAAAATTCTGTGGGACTCTTATCTCCAGAGAACCATAAAAAAAAAAGCAGAAGTAGAGGTGTGGCTCAAGTGGTAGAGCACCAGCCAGCCTTGAGCAGAAAAAAAAAACAAACCACCAAGTGCCCGGGCCCTGAGTTCAAGCCCCAGTACTGGCACCAAAAAAACAAAACAAAAACCATCTCATCTCATCAGATGCAGATGGGTTGGGCTTGGTCCAGGCAGACTTTCTCCACTGGAGGGAGGGGCCTGACTTCCTGCTACCCCCTTTCTACCCCCAAAGGCTCACCACCACATGAGACTCCTCAAATTAGCACCCCCCCAACCCAGGGCAGAATTCTGTTCTTCCAGAATCCCTGCTCTCCGACCCTCCTGCTAGATCTTAGCCACGTCCTTGACAGTGAAGATCCTCAGCCTTCTTCCTGACTCACCTCGCTTCTGTACAGTTACACGAGGACCATGATGGTACCTTGAACCAATCCAACAGCAGATGCCACAATCCTAAATTCCAGCTGGGCGTGGTGGCTCACGCCTTTCATCCTAGCTACTCAGGAGGCTGAGATCTGAGGTTCATAGTTCAAAGCCAGCCCTGGGCAGGAAAGGCCATGAGACTCTTAGCTCCAAACCACTCAGAGAACCGGAAGTGGCGCTGTGGCTCAAGTGGTAGAGTGCTAGCATTGAGCTGAAGAGCTGAGGGACAGAGCCCAGGCCCTGAGTTCAAGCCCCACGCCAGAAGAAGGAGGAGGAGGAGGAGGAGAAGGAGGAAGAGGAAGAAGAAGAAGAGGAGGAGGAGGAGGAGGAGCAGCTAGTTCAAGTAGTAGCACCCTCTCCCCTACCCTCCCCCCCACACCAGGATAATGGGGTGCTAGATCTAAAGCCCAATTTCTTCATCCATCTAGACATGAAGAAGATGTCCTTGGGAAAACTGAGCAGGCAGCAGATCACAAAGGGCTTGAGGCCTTAGATGCCCTTTGAAAAGCCTCCCTCCCCGCAACCAAGGCCTGGACAAGCTCTCCTCCCATTTCTACACGGTCATCCCACTTTGGCCAAACCTGACCTCAGCCCATCAACTCCCTGGAGATTCCGCAGGCCAAGGACATTCTGCTGGTGAAGACACCACCCAGATTCCAGGCCAAGATGGAAGACCTGGGGTGGGTGACTGGTCCAGAGCTGGTAGCTCATGCCTGTAATTCCCAGCTACTCAGGAGGCTGAGAGGTGAAGATTATAGTTCACAGCCAGCTCCAGTGGGAAAGTCTATGAGACTCTTCATCTTCAAGGAGCCAAAACAAAAAAAAATAGTCAGGGAAGTAGAGCTGTGGCTCAAGTGGTAGAGCCCTAGCCTGGAAACTAAAAAGATAAGGGAGAGCTCTTAGGCCTTGAGTTCAAGCCCCAGGACTGACACACGTGAATACACACACACACACGGAGCCTAGGGCAGATGTAAGGGAAGGGTATCTGGGCAGAGGGAACACAGAATATGCACAGACCCTGGAACATGGTTTCACGGGTGAGATGAACAGCAAACTATGGCTGGACGTCCTATGGACAAGGAAGAAGATGGAAGCTTCAGGAGGGAAGCTCAGAGAAGGCCGACGAAGGGGATCACAGCCCCCCTCAACGGATTACAATATGTGCAGGATTATGTACTGTTCAACAGCCAAGCAGAAAGGGTACTGCAGAGAGGTCTAGCAAGAAGAACTGAACACAGGGAAAGAATCTGAAAAGATGCAACTGGAGACTCGGAAGGTAAGCGACCTTAGGGAGTTACCTCCACCCTCAGGCAGTAGAACTAATGGCCGGAAACAGAATTCTGAGGCCTGTAAGTGAGGATCACCCTGCAGAACCCAGCTCCATGCCTGCTAGGCCCTTTCCCAAGGCAGAGTCTCCAGCTGCCAGCTGCCTAGGACCCGTGGGCTTGGTGGTAGGCCGTCCTGCTCCCTCCCTTCCTCCCTCCCTCCCCGCTCTCTGTGTCTCCAAAGGCCACCATCAGAGTGACAGCCAGTACCATCTCCACAGACGCTGAGCTCTTAGAGCTGGGCTGGGGCAAGGGGAAGAGGCACTCAGCAGATTGAGCCTTGTATTTTTCCATCTGGGCCTCCACGGGCCCCCTCCCCGCTCTTCCCCACTCCCCCCCACCTCCAAAAAACAAAAAGAGATGACAGCCTGGAAATATGGAAGCCACCTTCCCAGACAGCCGATGAGGTGAGGAAGAGCTAGAAGAGCAAAGGGACAGGTGATGGAAATTTCCTTTTCTCTCTCTTTTTTTTCTTTGGTGCCAGTCTTGGGACTTGAACTTGGGGCCTGGGCACTGTCCTTGGGTTTTGTTCCAGGCTGGTTGTTCTACCACTTTTTGGACTTTTTTTTTTTTTTTTGGTGGTTCATCTGAGATAAGCGTCTGCTGGACTTTTCTGCCCCAGTGTTGCGCTTGGAACCGTGATCCTCAGATCTCAAGTCTGCTGAGTAGCTAGGATTACAGGCGCGAGCCACGGCGCCCGGCTTTCTGTATGCGTGCGTGCTTTCTGCAATCTCGGACCAGGCAGCTGAGCGGCTGGCTCTGATGGCCAACAGCACGGTACTGCTGCTGCGGATCACCCCTGCGGGAAGCGAGGGGAGCTCCATGGGGTTCATCCTGGCCGTGCTGGTGGAGGTGGGGGCACTGCTGGGCAACGGGGCACTGCTGATCGTGGTGGTGCGAACCCCGGGATTACAAGACGGTCTCTATCTCGTGCACCTGTGTGTGGTGGATCTCCTGGCCGCTGCCTCCATCATGCCATTGGGCTTGCTGGCAGCACCACCGTCTGGACTGGGCCGGATGCCCCTGGGCCCTGCATGGTGCCGGGCTGCGCGCTTCCTCTCTGCAGCTCTGCTCCCCGCATGCACGTTGGGTGTGGCCGCCCTGGCCTTGGCACGCTACCGATTCATTGCACACCCATTGCATCCAGGTATCCGGCCCCGGCCCGGGCTGGTGCTCACCACCGTGTGGACCTCAGCAGGGATCCTGGGTGTCCTGTCTTTGCTGGGACCCCCTCCCGGCCCGCCCCCTGCACCAGCCCGGTGTTCAGTGTTGGCTGGGGGGCTTGGACCCTTCCGGCCACTGTGGGCACTGCTGGCATTCGCATTGCCAGCCTTCTTGCTGCTGGGGGCCTATGGCAGTATTTTCCTGGTGGCTCGGCGCGCTGCCACCCTGAGACCTCCGGGACCCAGGCCTGGGGGTACCCGGCTCCGCTCTGACTCCTTGGACAGCCGGCTCTCCTTCTTGCCACCTCTCCGATCTCGCCTGCCCGGGGGGAAAGCAGCTCTGGCTCCCAGCCTAGCCATAGGCCAATTCGCAGCCTGTTGGTTGCCTTATGGTTTTGCGTGCCTGGCACCCGTCACTAGGGCTGCAGAGGCCGAGACAGCTGTCACCTGGGTGGCTTATTCTGCCTTCGCCGTCCACCCGTTCCTCTACGGGCTCCTCCAACGCCCTGTGCGTCTAGCACTGCGCCGCCTCACCCGCCAGGCCCTGCCAAGACCCTGCGCGGCGCAAGCCTGGCACCCCGGGACTCTCCTACATGGCCTCCAGAGACCCCCCAAGGGCCCTGTTCTAGCCCCTTGCCAGGCACCAGCTCACATCAGCCAGCTGGCAGAAGGACAGAGCCCTGGCGGCAGCACGCCACAGGCCACCTGAGACCCTCTTGCTCCTTCTGCTCTGGACAAAAGATGATGCCCAAAGGCCCAGCCCTTGCTCAGGCCTCTGAAAATCTCCTGCCTCAACTTTTGGCTCTATGGCAGGTAGTAAAAGTGGACTGTAGGGCTGGTATGATCCCGAAGTTTCTCAGGACTCCGTGCTGGGCCTAACCTTAGCTGAGAGCCTTGGACACAAAACCTCCTTTATTTTTTTTTTCTCCTGAGCCTTGTTTTACTCATCTCCTCTAAAGGCTCCTTCTGTGTTAACTGTTGGAAACTTACAGACAGTCCCTGGCCCAGGAAGAACAAAAAAGTGGGGCAGGATGACTAAGAGAGCCCTAAGGTACCACCAGGCCCTAAAGTTCAGCCAACCCAGGAGGCACCAGAGGACAGACTTCCAGCAGGACTTCCCTGACAACCAGCAGCAGAAACAAGCTGATGGAAAGGCACGGGAAAGCGCCATCTGCTTCTAACCCATTCAGACCACCACTGGATCTCTTTTGACACTAGAAGCAAGAGGTTGGATAAGATACCTCCCCAAAGCGTCTTGAGGCACCCCTAAACTGGCATTAGGGATGGGGCTGCAACCTAAGAGGGAGCTGGAGGATTTTTGTGGTTGGTTTTGCGTGTGTGTGCGTTTCCCACCCCAACATTAGCACCGTCCACAGTCTTCTGGTCGCTGAGAATATTTATTCAAAAAACAGGGATTGAAAAAAACTGTACAGAGAGTGTCTGCTGCTGAGAACGGGGCCCTCGTCCCCCACCCCCACCCCCTGCCCAGACCATGTCACCCCCTTCCCCTCCCCCAAACTCCAAACTCCAAGACAGAGCCCTTGCTTTGGGGGTATAAATCCCTGACAAAGTCCAGCTAGTCCTTTTCCAGTCGAAAGGGTTATCAGTGAAAGCAGCCGGAAAATGCAGGGGTGCGGAGGGGGGAGCGGGAGGGGAGCAGAGAGAAGTTTGTTCCCCCTCAGCCCACCCCCTCAAGCCCTCCTCCTCCTCCTCCTCCCTGATTCCCCACCAGGGCAACCGAACCAGAAGCCCCCGGGGGGAACTGTTGATCTTCTAGCTTATTCGCTTGCCCTAGGAAGGCGATTGGAAAGTGATCGGAAGGTGATCGGAAGCTCTAGGACTCGCTGGCAACTCAGGCTATTGATCTATATAGCCCAGGAGAGTTGGTGGGTCTCCCAAGTGACCTTCCTGCCCAGAAACCCTGGGCTGGAAACCAACTCCCTTTCTCTGAGAGGACAAACTCTAGAAAGCCCGGGGGGCCTGGGGTAAAAGTAGGGGGGATGCATCCATGCGTCTGGCATTCGGGGGGGGGGGCGCTTGGGATGTCCCCCATGTAGACCTCCCCTGCCCCCACCCCACACACACACCAAAGTGGAGTTTCCTTGGGAGCAGGCAGGATACATTGGCAGCTCCTGCCTGGGGAGGGGGAGGGCGGCGGGGAGGGGTGGGGGTGAGGTGGGGGGTCCTGCCTGTCCCCCACCCCCCCCTTCATCGTCTGTGCCTCAGCCGGCCTCAGTAGGGGGAGAATTTCTGCCGCTCAGCTTTCTTGCTCCCATTGGCTGCTGCCATCTTGGCCGTGTAAGCCGCCAAGCCCGGCGGTGGCCCCGGGGAAGCAGGTGGTAGAGCCAAGAAGGGTACGGGTTTGAGACCGATGAAGTTGGAGAGGGAGATATAGGGTGTGCCCAGTAAGCCCGGGGGAGCCGTGGGCAGGGCGGTCAAGGGTGGTGAGAAGGGTGTGGGCAGGTCTGTGGGGGCTGAGCCCGGTGTACCCCCAGAGGTAGACTTGGCCGTCTCTAGACTGGAGAGAGGAATACAGAGGGGGAGAGGAAGGGGAAAGCGAGGGTGAGATGAGGTAGCCAGACGAAGGACCTAGTGCTGCTGTGTTTGGGGGGGGCGAGGGGAAGTGGAAGGGCGAGGAGGGGAGACCAGACAGGTGAATCTAGCAGTAGGGGGGAAGAAACAGGGGTTCGGGAAAACAAACGAACAAAAATCAGGAAAAAGAGCCAGCAATGGGCCTGGTGCTGGTGGCTCACGCCTGTCACCCTAGCTACTCAGGAGGCTGAGATCGGAGGATGGTGGTTCAAAGCCAGCCCGGGCAGGAAAGTCTGTGAGACTCTGATCTCCAACGAACCACCAGAAAACAGGAAGTGGTGCTGTGGCTCAAGTGGTAGCGTGTTTGCCTTGAGCTGAAGAGCTGAGGGACAGCGCCCAGGCCCAGAGTTTAAGCCCCATGACTGACAAAAAAAAAAAAAGAGAGAGAGAAAGGAAGGAAGGAAGGAAAGAAGGAAGAAAGGAAGGAAGGAGGGAGGGGGGAAGGGAGGGAGGGAGGGAAGAAAGGGAGAGAGGGAAGGAAGGAAGGAAGGGAGGGAGGGAGGAAGAAAGGAAGGAAGGAAGGGGAAAAAAAAAAGAGAGCCAGGCGCCAGTGGCTCACGCCTGTCATCCTAGCTGAGATTAGGCCAGGTACTAGTGAATCAGGCTTAGATAATCCTCAGCTACTCAGGAGGCTGAGATCTGAGGATCACAGTTTGAAGCCAGCCCAGGCACGAAAATCCATGAGACTCTTTACCTCCAATGAACCACCAATAAAAAAAAAAAAAAAAGCTGAAGGACAGTGTCCAGTCCCTGAGTTCAAACCTCAGTACTGGCACTGGTATGCTGGCGCGCGCACACACACACACACACACACACACACACACACACAGAGGCAGCAATGGGCAGGGGGGACGAGCAATGGACGCAGAGGAGGAAGCTGGGTAGAATGTCACAGCAGGACAGTAGGAGGGGCTTAGGGGAAGCAGAGGACCAATCCAGAGAGAAAGGAGGTGGGCCCTCCCCTCCTGCAGCCACTCCCTGCTCACCAGGCAGTGATGAGGTACTGGGCCAGGGCAATGGAGACCGGGGAGCCGGTGATGGTCACGTGTCGCTCCCCAGCACCCTCTGCTTGGTTCCCGATCTTGATATGCGCCCCTGACATCTGCCTGATCTCGCTGATCTTGCTACCTTGGCGTCCGATCACGCAGCCGATCAGCTGGAGGGAAGGCGGCGTTCAACACTTGGATATAAGGCCCATCTTCCCACCCCTCCACCCCCAATACCCTGGGTCCCCCTATCCACCCTTCCTACCACCCCATCTTCCCAGGCTCACGTCATTGGGAACCAAGAATTCCTGGGAGCTGGTCTGTGCACCAGGATCCAGTCCTGAGGTGAAGAGAGACTTGAATGAGGTGTGTGGGGTGGGGGAGTGTCTAGGTCTGTCTGTTCAAGGGGGGGCTGTCCAGAGCCACGCCCATCATCCCAGCTACTCAGGAGGCTGAGATCTGAGCATCACAGTTCAAAACCAGCCTGGGACAGGAAAACCTATATATAAGATTCTCTTATCTCCAATGAACCAACAAAAACTAAACAAAAACAAGCCGGAAGTGTGGCGCTGTGGCTCGAGTGGTAGAGTGCTAGCCTTGAGGGAAAGAATAAAAAAAGCTCAGGGACAGAGCCCTAAGGCCTTGAGTTCAAGCCCCAGGGCTGGCATACCTAAAATAACTAAGAAGGAAGGCTGCCCAACCTCCTCCTGCCGGAAGTAAACTTACCTGGCACCACACTGGGTGAGGCGAAGGGGACTGCGTGGCCTGAGAGCTGCTGGAGCTTAGTGACCTGGGGGGTCAGAGGTCAGAGGTCAAGCGGTAGAAAAGGTCAGAGGTCAGGCAGTTCAAGAAGAGAAGCCTTGGGTTGGTAGAGCAGGGGTCGACTCACCTCAGCAGGGGTCACTGCTCCATATTGACCCTGGACAGAGAAGCCCTGTAGGGACAATAGCGGGGAAGAAGCCCGAGAGGAGTTGGGGGGTCACTGTGGCAGGTTGGGACACATCACCCAAGGTCACGCCTGGCCTCATCCCCTAATTTTTGTTTTGGTCGGCCGTGGGGCTTGAACTCTGGGCCTGGGCGCTGTCCCTGAGCTCTTCAGCTCAAGGCGAGCGCTCTACCCCTTGAGCCACAGCGCCACTTCCGGTTTTCTGGTAGTTCATTAGAGTTAAGAGTCTCACGGACTTTCCTGCCCGGGGTTGGCTTTGAACCCTGATCCTCAGATCTCAGCCTCCTGAGTAGCTAGGATGACAGGCATGAGCCACGGGCGCCCGGCTCCTCCCACCATCCCCATCCTTCCTGCTAGCCCCCTCCAATCATGCTTCCTTGCTCTCCCCTTGGGTCATTTCCCTCACCTGGTTGGCAGAGAGGAGGACAGAACCTAGGGAGAGGCTGGGGTGATAGGGGATGGTGGCTCCTTTGGGTGGGGACTGAAAGACACAAAGTACCCACTCAGCTTCTATTACCACACACACACACACACACACACACACACACACACACACACACACACACACGAACCCAATAGCCTTAAAGCCCCCCCCCACCAATGCCCTGGAGTTCAGAATCCACCTCTGCAACACTCCCCTACCCCCACCCCAATGTCACTGGCATCAACAGGACTAGGGGGCTCCCCTCTCCCCCCTCCTCTGACCTTCCCCAGGGCATCACCTCCAGGATAACAGCACAGATCTGGCGCACACACAGGATGATGGCGTCCGGCACCCCAGACACGGTGACCGCACGCTCTGTGGAATTAGGGAGCAGGTCCCCTGCCACCTGCACCTGGGCTCCCGTGGTCTACGAAGAGAAAAAAAAAATCAACAGCTACAGCTGAGCATGGTAGTGCACACCTATGATCCCCGCACTAGGGAGGAGGCTGGACAGGAGAAGTGAGAGTTTCAGGCCAGGTGAAGGCTGTAAGAGTGGCAGGAAGAGAGAAAAAAAAAGAAGAGGAGAGGGAAGGAAGAGAGGGAGAGAGGAAAGAAGCAGAGAGAGAGAGGAGAAAGGAAATACAGAGATAGAAAAATATACATGAGACAGAAAAGAGAGACAGAGGAGAAAGGTAATACAGAGGGATAGAAATAGAAATGAGAGACAGAGAGAGAGACATACAGAGAGGAGAAAAGAAATACAGAGAAGCAGAAAGATAAATATAAGAGAAAGGAGAGAGCTAGATTGGAGAAAGGAAATACAGAGATAGATAGATAGATAGGGCCATGGCTCACGCCTGTCATCCTAGCTACTCAGGAGGCTGAGATCTGAGGATCGTGGTTCAAAGCCAACCCAGGCAGGAAAGTCCTTGAGACATTTATCTCCAATAAACCACCAGAAAAGCAGAAGTGGCGCTGTGGCTCAAGTGGTAGAGCACTAGCCTTGAGCTGAAGAGCTGAGGGACAGCACCCAGGTCCAGAGTTCAAGACCCATGACCAACCAAAAACAGAAAGAGAGAGAGAGAGAGAGAGAGGAAGAAGAAGAAGTCAGAGGGGCAGAGGGGCAGTGGGGAAGGAGAGGGAGAGAAGGAAAAAAACAAAAAACAAAGCCAAGGCCAAAGCAAAGTGACTCCTTCTGGCAACTCTAATGGTCTAAAAGCAGCAGGACTGGCAGGCTTGGAGCTCCACCCTGGAGTTCAAAGCCACAAGCCCAGTTTCCCCTCTTACCACTAGGCAGTGCCCCTTGCTCCTCACCTCCCGGATCTCTTTGATCTTAGTGCCAGCCTTCCCGATCAGTGAGCCACACTGGCTGGCAGGGATAACAAGGCGTAGGGTCACAGGAGGCCTAGAGACATTGCCACCGTTTGTAGGAGCAGCACAAAGGTCCTGTGGCAGGAAGATGGGGCGAGGGGGGGGTTTGGCTATGCACGCTTCTTCGTTAACTCTCTTCTCAAGTGCCACACCTGTCATTCATCCTGGTTACTCGGGACACTTGGGATCTGAGGATCATGGTTCAAAGCCAGCCCCGGAGTAAGGAACATCCAGAAGCCTCTGATCTCCAATGAGCTATGGCTCAAAGTGGTAGAGCACTAGCCTTGAGCAAAAAGAGCTCAAGGACAGCACCTAAGTCCTGAGCTTAAGCCCCATGACTGACCAATAGAAACAAAAAGGAGTGGGGGGGCCATACTGGCCAGGGTTGGACGCCCCCTCCTACCCACAGCCATTCTATGCAGCTGGAGTTCTTCCCAGACAACCTCCCATAGGCTTCCTCAGGCCCAGGCCTGCCCACAGACCTCATCCAACTTGAATGCGATCATAGAGACGGCGTGGAAGACAGCAGCTGTGGAGCCGGTGATGGTGGTGATGCGTTCTGGGCACGACCCCTCGGAGATGGTGATCCGGGCACTGCTCTGTGGATAGAGAATGAGCCGCAGGGCAGCAGGGCCGCCTTCCCCTACCTCGATTGCCAGCAAGCCCACCGGCCTTCCCGACTGGCCCAGGGAGGGGATGCGGTAGTGGGGAGCTCCTTCTGCACACCCCCATCCACACAGCCTGGGGCTCCCTCCCTTCCCACCCTCTCTGCCCCAGCCTCACCTGCTCCCGGATTCGTTTGACAGTCTCTCCCTTCTGTGGGATGGATACGAAACAAACAACGGGCTCTTTTAGCTTCCATGGCTAATGACCTCTGAACCCTGGCTTCACCCACAAGCACCTTACCTTCCCAATGATGCTGCCCACTTCCTGCAAACAAGACCAAGGGTGGAGTCAGATGGGGCCCAGCCCCTTCCCTTCACTCAGGCAGGGACTCTTGTAGGAAGCCTGAGCCTTGGCCTGTCACGGAGGCCCCGCCCATGCACCTGCCAGACCACGCCCCCTCATACATACCAGGCCACTCACCATGCCAGGCCCCGCCCACTGCTCTGCCCAACCACGCCCCTCACCATGCCAGGCCACGCCCACTGCTCTGCTAGTCACGTCCCCTCATATATGCCAGGCAACTCACCATGCCAGGCCACGCCCCCCGCTCTGCCTAACCACGCCTCTCACATGCCAGGCCACGCCTACCACTCTGCCCAACCACGCCACCATGGCTCATCACGTCCCCCCCCTCTGCCTAACCACACCCCTCACCATGCCAGGCCACGCCCACTGCTCTGCTAGTCACGTCCCCTCATACATACCAGGCCACTCACCCTGCCAGGCCACGCCCACCGCTCTGCCCAACCACGCCCCTCACCCTGCCCGGCCACGCCCACCGCCCTGCCCGACCACGCCCCCTCACCTTGCCATGCATCAGCATCCTCAGCGTGAGGGTGATGCTGAGCTCCGGCTCCTCCTCCAGCCCCGCATCTGAGCCACTCATCGTGTCGGGCGGGGCTGGGGCCGCAGTGGCCTAGGAGTGTGTCCACGCTGTGACCTGCTCGACTCTGGCAAGGGACGGGAGAAAACACACCCAGTGTATTAGCACACGTCTCCTTAGCTGGGATCATCCTCCATGGCTCCTGGAACCTATGCCGGCCCCAGGTTATCCCCATCGGTAATAAAAGGGATAACAAAATCCTACCCCATTCCCCCCCCAAAAAAGTTATGTGAATTAAAATGAGACACATTGAAATCAGGCACTGGAGGCTCACGCCTGTCATCCTAGCCACTTAGGAGGCTGAGATCTGAGGATCGCCGGTTCAAAGACAGCCCCAGGTAGTAAAGTCAGTAAGACTCTTCTGTCCAATTAACCATCCAAGTGGAGCTGTGGCTCAAGTGGTTCAGCACCAGCTTTGAATGGGAAAAAGCTAAAGGACAGTAACCCGGCCCTGAGTTCAAGTCTCAGGACCAGCACACATGCATGTAGCATGCACACACACACACACACACACACACACACACACACACACACACACACACATACACAAGTACTCAGCCATTCTGAATTACCATCCCTTCTTCATCACAAATATCTATGTATCCAGAAAGACTGAGGATATAGCTCAGTTCGGTGGTACCATACTTGCCTAGTATATGCAAAGTCCTAGGTTTGAACCCCAGCACAAGAAGAAGGTAGAAGCTAGGCACCGGTGGCTCATGCCCGTCATCCTAGCTACTCAAGAGGCTGAGATCTGGGGATCATCGGATCAAAGCCAGCCCAGGGCAGGACAGTTCTTAAGACTCTTATCTCCAGTGAATCACCAGAAGACTGGAAGTGGCACTGTGGCTACAAAGGGGCAGAGTGCTAGCCTTGAGCAAAAGCAGCTCAGGGGCAGTACCCAGGCCCTGAGTTCAAGCCCCAGGACTGGCAAAGGTTGGGGGGGGGGGGGAGGATCTTTCTTTCACCTGCTGCCTGGTAAAAGCTTGACAATCCCCAGAAGAGGCTCCCTGTAACCAGCCAGCATTCAATACTGGACTCGGGGTTCAACATGGGGGAAAGGTCAAGAATCTACCCAGTGTTGGTTCCCTCTACCCCAACACAGGAAAGAGGAAAGAAGCTTCCAAGACTAGCTACACTCTCTACCCAAACAAAGTCACTTAAGCTTGTGGGTCTCAAGTCCTGGGTGGTGGGCGAGAGATCGATTTGGTGGGCTGAAGGAATGGCAGGGCCATGAATGCTGAAGGGAGTCGGAGCCTGAGATTAGCTTCTAGGATTAGCTGGCTAACAACCCTCCCCACCCAACCCTTTTATACACCCCTTAATCCCAAACCTTAATCCTTCTCAGAAATCCTCCTCCACCAGGTTTTCAGCCTGGATGGAGCTGGGCTAGAAGACCATAATTCAAGAAGGACAGGGTGTGGGACTAATCAGGGAGGGGCGGGGGTTGGGGGCAACTGTGGGCCTAGACTAAGTTCCAGCTCTACAGACTCCTTCTGCCAGAGACAGATGTGGTTTCAAATGCTTCAGTGCTTGCATTTGGGGCACTTTAGAGGCCTCTGGTCACATTTTTCCTCAGCCCCCCCTCAGCTTTCTTTGACATCTTGCTAACCAGCTTGGGAGAGGAAAGGGGGCTCCCTGGCCTGGCTTGATTTTAATTTGGGTGCCAGTCCTTTGGGACTTGAACTCAGGGACTGGACACTGTCCCTGAGCTGTGTGTGTATGTGTCTGTCAGTTGTGGGGCTTGAACTCGGGGGGCCTGGGCACTTCCCCTCAGCTCTTCAGCTCAAGGCAAGTGCTCTACCACTTGAGCCACCGTGCCACTTCCGGTCTTCTGATGGCTCATTGGAGATAAGAGTCTCACAGACTTTCCTGCCCAGAGCTGGCTTTGAACCACAATCCTCAGATTGCATTAGGATAACAGGAGTGAGCCACCGGCCCCCATCTGTCCTTGAGCTATACCTCCACTTCTGACTTTTCTTTCCCCCTGATCCTCAGATCTCAGCCTCCCAAGTAGCCAAGGATTACAGGTGTGACTCACAGGGCTCTGGGCTTGCCTGGCATTTTTATAGAAGTCTTCGTATGTCATGGAGGTGACAGCCCTTCCCTCCCCCCACACCATGCCATTTTCCCCCAGCAACCTGCTCCTCCTTTGATTTGAGTTCTACCATAGGCATCTGCCAAAGGGTGGAGGCCAGCAGTAGATTTCAGAGCCTGTGGCTCTGGGTATCCCGGCCAAACTCATGCTGGCTGCCCTTGCTAGACATTTTTCTGGCTGCCTGCACTTCCCCCAGCAAAGCATTTGGTGATGACGTGTTTGGTTGTGTCCCTGTGGACAGCCAGCCCCAGAGCACCTTAGAGCAGCGGGAGCCAGCTTTGTCACTTTCTCCTTGTGTCCCCAGGGCTCTCGGTTCACAGCAAGGCCACCGTGAACACCGCTCAGACATAGAAGGGGGAAAAAAAATCTTAATATCTACACACAATCCATCATCTGATCAAGGTCACAGACAGCCCTGCTTGCTAGTGCAGGCCAAGAGCAAACTCCCATCTGTGTCTCCTTTTTTTGGGGGTGTTGGGGATGGGGGGAGTCAGGAAGGGGAGAAAGAGATGGGTCCTAGGGCTTGAACTCAGGGCCTGGGTGCTGTCCTTGAGCTTTTATCCTCAAGGCTAGTGTTCTACCACTTGAGCCACAATTCCACTTTCTGGCTTTGGGAAGGGTTCGTCGGAGGTGAGTCTTATGGATTTTTCCTGCCTAGGCTGGCTTCGAACCATGATCCTCCCGAGTAGCTAGGATGACAGGCATGAGCCAGTGGTGGTGCCCTAGCTCTGTACCACCTTTGGACATGCTTCAGTGTGGATCTATTTGTCTCTTTGTCTTTTGGCTGCCCTGGGAGACCCTTTGCCTGGTGAACAGATGGAACAGCAGCTTATCCAGAGCTAGACCCTTAAGCTCCCAGATTTTTTGGGGTGTGTGTGTGGGGGGGTCGTCCAGGGACGCCTAGAAGGCAAAAAGTCACCAGCGGGAAATGCGATCGCCCCCACACCCGCAGTGCCCCCTCTACCCACATACCACCTCATTTATTCTGTGGTACCAGGAGAAATGGGGAGCCGATCGGAACTGGAGTTCTTGCAGAGGAAAAAAGTAGACCCCCCCCACCCCCAATTGCGCTTCATCCCTACCAGGCCTTCTTCCGCCCTGAGCCTTGCTGTGATCCACCTGGGGCGAGCGAACGAGGAGCCCCGAGGCTCTGCCAGGCCACATTGTGCCACACTGACCTCCAGCTCACCTCTGAGGGTGCCTGGCACCCTCCCCTTCCTCCTCCCCCCCCCCCGCCCCCCAGCTCCGGTCAGCAGGCTTTCCCTGGCAGGGCATAACCAGCTCAAACCAAGGTCCCTAACCTCAGCCCGCCCTTCCCGCTTGTTCTCCAAGACCCCTTCCCCAGACCCAGTACCCACTTTCTTTCTGTGGCTGGCTTCTTGCCACTCAGGCTGGAAAGTGGGGGGGGGGGGGGAGAAATGACAGCTGTGTAAGCAATAGAGGCTAGAGAGTCTACCCTCTTCCTGCCCCTCCCCCCCAGCTGTCTCTCTCTCTCTCTCTCTCTCTCTCTCTCTCCTGACAGCTGCCCAATCAAAGAGGGGGGGCTTAGCCAGATTTCCCCTCCCCCCCCCACTACACACACATACAGGGATCAAGTGTCCAACCCTGGCTTTGTTCTGGAGTAAGAACAATCCTGGGAGGGGGGAGGGGGAGGGGAGAAGGGGGGAGGAGGGGAGGGCTCTTGGGAGCCAGCAACTCAAGTAGACTGGTTCACCCCCTCCCCCCCGGGGATGCCCTGTTCTCTTGGCCCAGTGTCTGGACCAGTCAGAGCTCTCCGCACACCTACCTGAATTCAGAAGAGAGGGGAGATACAGGCTCCTCCCACGTCACCCCTACCTGATATCATAACCCCCCCCCCCACACACACAGAGTGATCCCAGCCTTCTGTACCTGATGGGCTGGACCACACCCAATGAGGCTAGTTTAAGAGCCACAGGCCAGGCACAGGGTGTGGCAGGAGGGTAGGGGTGAGAGATGGGGGGGGTAGGGGGGGGACTTGGCATTGAAGGCTGCCTAGGCGTCTGCCCATCCTCTACTCTGATGCCGCTAGTCTGGCCTCCACCAAAACAAAAACAAAAACAGAGCCCAGCATCTTCTGGCCCAAGGCCTGGCCTCTTGGGCTTTTAGCCTCTCAGAATGACCGATCAGACCTAGTTTGGGGGTGGAAGGGGGGCACTGGGAAGTAGCTCAGGGTCTACTTCTCCTCTAGCTTCCGGCTTCTTGATTCCCATTCCATTTCGTGAAAGTGCCAGAAGAACAAACTGGCAACATGGGAGTATCATTAACCAGCACCGCCCCCCCCAAAAAAAAGAGTCTTCATTGCCAAGGGAAATCAAGGCAGGCCCAGGCCTCAACTGGACTCTAGGAAGAAGACCACAGCCTCACTCCCTGAGGGTCACTCCAACTGGGAAAAATCACTGGCTTCCATTCTCCATGCCGAAGACTTGCATGTTCACGCCACTGCTGCTCCACAACCATCTTGAGGCTCCCCAGTGCCCCCCAAGAATAGAAAGAGGAAAGCCTGAGCTCCATGAACAGGCATTCCCTTACCCAGCTCCTGTCAGCTTTTCTTGTCTTCCCTTTTACGCCCGTTTTCCTCCCTGACCACGCCGTGCACGCCAGGCCTAGCTCTTCCAAAACCTCTTAGGTCTTCACCAGCTCACCCCTGCTTGAAATGCATGCCTAAATCCACCTTCTCTGTGAAGCCCTCCAGAAGCTTCCAGAGTCAGATGTAAAGCCCTCTTAGGCCTCTGTGTCACCCCTCTACCCCCACCGCCACCAAAAAGATGACTACTCAAAAGTCACAAGATTCCCAATAGGGACCTTTGGAGTCTGTCTTTCTGCTACACAGAGGAGAAATCTGAGACAGGCCCAGGTTCTTTCTGTGCACAAGGAGAAGTTAGGGTACCTAGTAGTCCCTGGGGGGAGAGGTGTTAAGAGATCCTTTAGGCACAGAATCCTGGGGCTCGCACACACCCCTTCACAGGGGCAGATAAGATCTTTCCAGATCCTCCACATCACAGCCCATTTGCATTCTTCCTCCCAAGCCTAGGGGCATTACTGCTATGAGTTTCTAGGGGACCACAGTGGGATGCTTCTCCCGGCATCTGATAAAGGCTTTCAAAGAGTTGGGGTAGGGTTAGCCTATCATCACTTGAAAAGCTTCCACCGATCGAGATGGGGGAAATGTGAGCCGGAGTTGAAGAGACTTAAGTGAAATGATTCTCAATGCCCAGGAGGCCAGGGACAAGCCGGGAGAAACCTCTCCCTCTCCCTCTATCTGCACCAGCCCGACCAGACTCTCTCCTTAAGAGCTGAGCACCGAGTTCTGCTGATGGAGGCTGGGGGAGGGAGGCAGTCACCAGAGGAGGGAAAGTGGAGAGAGTCCCGGGTCTGGGCATTCAGGGTGGGGCAGGCCAGGCTTCACTGCAGCCTCTGGGCCTGCCAGGGTGTGTGGGCCGCCTGCTCCCAGCCCCCCACCCCCGAGTGTCCTAATAGAACAATCCCCTTGTGTTTGGACAGCCCGAGACTGAATGCTGATGAAGGCTGGAGGGGGGGGGGGGGGAAAGGCTGGGGATGGGGGCGGTTTGGAAGTTGATGATGGTGGTGATGGGAAGGGGGGGGGGGGGAGAATGTTCCAGGACTTGGGAGAGATCAGATCTTCCACTAGAGAAGACAATAAGGCTCCAGGAGCTGGACCTGAGACCATAAAGTTGACCCACAGGGGAAAGCAGAAGGCCAGAACTCAGCTTCTCGGGGTCTCACCACAGCTTTGTGAGAGTAGGGGAGGGGGAGAGAGGTGGTGGAGGGGAGGGGAAGGAGAGTCACATGTTCTGTGGGTCCAGCAAGAGGTTGATCATGGGGGAGGGGAGCTTGATGGAGGAATCCAGTCTCCCCCCCCAACACACACACATCCTGAGGGAAGAGGCAAGCAGCTCTGAGTGCATCCATCCCTACGGATGACCATTTCTCTGGGTGCCAGGGTGGGGTGGGGCCTTGGGTGCCACAGGTCTCAAGATGGCAGTGTGGGGGAGGGGAAGGGAGGGCCTGGGATAGGAAGGTGGGTATCTCCCTTTCTCTTCTGCACGAGGCCCAGGCAAAGCTCCCCCTTCTCCACCCTAAGACCCCCCCCCCCAGGCCCACCCCCTGCCTTCCACCACCCCCAGTGCGGAAGCTAGATCACGGCTGGGGAGGTAAAGAAATCACAGGGCAGGAAGGGGTCGGTTGGGTTTGCCTCTATCTCCCATCTTTCCCCTTTTATTACCCCCTGGCTGGCCTAGCTGGAGGTCTGAGTCTGTGTCTGGCTCTCTTGGGAAGGACTGCAGGGTTGGGGGGGGGGAACAGATGGAAAAAAGGGGTGTGTGTATGTAAGAGAGAAAGAGAGCAAGCGTGCGCCAGGGGGTGCAGAAAGGAAGATGGGAACCACAACCTGCTTGTGTGTGTGTGTGTGTATATGGAGGGGAAGGGGGTGCAAATCTGGTACCCTAGAGACCCAGGACCAACCCCCCCACCCCACCCCCACCTCCTCAGCTCCTCTAGCCAAAATCCAGTGGTTTCCCCACCTACCCCCCAACTTCTCCCACACCTGTGCAGGCCTTGGAGGGATGGGACAAGGACCCCCCCCATCAGTCTCCTCGGACCCCTCTACCACCATCATCATCATCACCCCCATCCTCATCTCCACCTCTTGAGAAAGGGGGGGGAACCCCTGCACGCAGGCCCGGCCTCCCCGCGCCCCCCTTCCTCTGCCTCCTGAGTCCCCCCCACCCCATCCCCCCCAAACTTCCCAGCCTCCCCCCCACCCCCGCCCCGGCCCCCAGGCTCCCCCGCACCCTACCTCTCCGGGGCTGTCCTGCGGCGGCGGCGGGGCCGCTCAGAGCCACATTGTCCCCCGGAGAGGCGGCCGCTCACAACTGCGGGTGACATCAGCTGCGAACAATGAGGGGTTTGACAGGCGCGGCGCGCGGAGGAGCCCGGGCCCGGCCCGGAGCCCGGCTCCGCGCCCCCCCACCCCGCCCGCCCGCGGCCCCCTCCCCCCCCACCCGCCTCCTCCCCTCCTCCCTTCCCCGGATCCGATTACAGCGCGCGGCCCGGCCCGCCCCGGACGCCCCAGTGCCGCAGCCGCGCGTGCGCGCGCGCCCCGCCCCGCCCCGCCCGTCCTCCCCCCCCCCCCGCCCCGCCCCTCAATCGCCTCACCGCGCGTGCGCGCGCGCCCCGCCCCGCCCGTCCTCTCCCCTCACTGCGCGTGCGCGCGCGCCCCGCCCCGCCCGTCCTCTCCCCCGCCCCTCAATCGCCTCACTGCGCGTGCGCGCGCGCCCCGCCCGTTTCCCTCTCCCCTCACTGCGCGTGCGCGCACCCCGCCCCGCCCCGTTCTCTACCCCCGCCCCTCTCTCCTCCCCGCGCGTGCGCGCGCACCCCCCCCCCCCCCGCGCCTGCGGCTTCCGGGAGGGGAGGGCTGCGGCGACCCCTCCGGCCCCCGCCCGGCCCTGCACACCTTCCCACCTGCACATCTCACCCCCCACCTTCTCTGTCTTTCAGGATTGGGGGATGAGGTCCGGATCTTCCCCCCCTCCCCCCCTCCCCTCCCCTGTTCAGCTTCTGATCCCCCCACACACACCCCATCTCAGCCCAGCCGCCCTGGCTGCCAGGCTGGGTTCGAATCCCGGGCCCCCTGGGCCTTTGCTGCTGCTGCACCCGAACTCCCCCCCCCTGCACCCCATCCCACCCTCCCTCCCTCCCTCCCTCCCCGCGCCCATGTCAGCTCCTGACCTCGGGCCCTGCTGCCCCCCCTGCTGCCCCCCACCCCTGCTGCCCCCCCACCCCTGCTGCCCCCCCCACCCCTGCTGCCCCCCACCCCTGCTGCCCCCCCACCCCTGCTGCCCCCCCCCACCCCTGAGGCCCCCCACCCCTGCTGCCCCCCCACCCCTGCTGCCTCCCACCCCTGAGGCCCCCCACCCCTGAGGCCCCTCACCCCTGCTGCCCCCCACCCCTGCTGCCCCCCCACCCCTGCTGCCCCCCACCCCTGCTGCCCCCCACCCCTGCCCCCCACCCCTGCTGCCCCCCACCCCTGCTGCCTCCCACCCCTGAGGCCCCGCACCCCTGCGGCCCCCCCCACCCCTGCTGCCTCCCACCCCTGCTGCCCCCCCACCCCTGCTGCCCCCCACCCCTGCTGCCCCCCACCCCTGCGGCCCCCCACCCCTGCTGCCCCCCACCCCTGCTGCCCCCCCACCCCTGCTGCCCCCCCCTGCTGCCCCCCACCCCTGCGGCCCCCCCCTGCTGCCCCCCACCCCTGCTGCCCCCCACCCCTGCTGCCCCCCACCCCTGAGGCCCCCCACCCCTGCTGCCCCGCCTCATCTCAGCTCCAGTGCTGACCCCGGGCCCCTGCTACCCTACCCCCCGCCCCGCCTCATCTCAGCCCCGCCTGGGTCCCAGTGCCGGCCCTGACCCCCCCCCACCTCCCCAGTCCTGAGCTGGGGGTAGGGGTCCCTGCGTGCCCCAGGAACTGGGGTTCTCCTGACCAAGCTGGAGTGAGGAAAGCGGGGAGGCCTGAGGGCCCTGCTGGCACCCCCGCTCCGCTTGATGAGTCCATACACACACACCCCAAAAAAAGAAGAAAGACGTCTACCTCCAGAATTCCTTTTGGGGAGCTAAGGTCGCTATAGGGATGGGGCACCGCCAGGCCAGGCCTCCACGGGGAAGGGATGAGGGGGAGGAGGGGCGGGGAGCTGAGCTGTTTCCAAGTCCTCTGCCCCTCCTCCCCCCTTTTCCCCCCTCTGTAATCGGCTCAGCCTGGTCTCCCTGACCTCCCCTTCCCCCCTCCCCCTGCCCTCCCCCCCCTTCTTCCAGCTGAGTCTCTTGGCACCTGAGCCTCTGTGTGTGGGGGTGGGAGGGGAACCCAATCTCTCTTTTCCCTCCATCTGGCCTGGTGGACAAAGGGCAGTTGGAGGAGGGGAGGGGGGGGAACCATCTGGTCCTGCCAGGGTGGGGGAGGGGCCTGCGTGGCAGGCAGTCCCCAAGGGGCAGGGGGTGGGGAGGGGAGGGAAGAAGAGAGGAGAGGGGAGGGGCTCAGGACACAGCCACAGTTGGGGGGGGAGGGTGGCTTCACTTTATTTCCACTGGTTTCCATAATCTGTTAATGTACACACACACACACACACACACACACATCCCTTCCATCACAACCACCACCAAAATCAAACCTCAGTAGGAAACAGGTTTATCTGAGAAAGATCCAAGACTTGGTAACCTAAGGGAAATAGGGGTACCCCCCCCCCCCACACTCTACCCCCAGGAAGAGGAAAAGCGGAGATCTGAGAGGCAGAGGTGTGTGTGTTTAGAGGTTGTTGGTCCTTCTCTTTAGGGCTGAGACCTGTTGCAACCTATGGGTGGGTGGGGCCTTGGTTGGCCACGCCCCCCAGTCTGACAAGGTAGAGGGTCTTCTCTGTCAGGGCCTGATTCCAGGAGATTTCCCCATTCCTCCCCCCCCCCAACCTTCCTGGAAGGCTGGCTTATACAAATGAGGCAAGCCCTTCTGTAAGGTACAGAGGATATACCTGTGTACCTCCCCAGGTGAGGGATGGGTTCCCCCAAATATATACACGGAGCTTGTGTTTATCTATGGTCTATGTAAGACAGGAAGGCAGGGCAGAGAAGGAGAAAGCCAAGCAAGAAAGTGAATGGGAAAAGCAATTCCTGAATTACCCTCCACCAGATGACTTCCTTGAGTTCCTGAGTATTGGTTTTGTTTCTTTTTTCCACTTGATTTTTTTTTTTTACCTCCTTTAGTCTCTGCAAGAGAAAGAAGCACCCAAAGACTAAGAACCCAGAGAGACACAGACAGATGCACCTGCTGCATGGACATGATTGAGCCAGAAGTAAAGGAATGAGAGAGAGAGAGAGAGAGAGAGAGAGCCCAAGACAGTCTGCCAGCCCACCCCATCAGCAGGTCTGAGTCTCAAGCTAGTCCCTGCAGGAAATCCAGCAGCCCTTGATGCCACTGTTCAGGTTTGTCCAGGTAGCAGGGGTGCCCTGCTCCCTCCATCACCAACACCCTGTGGTTAGGCAGCTGCTTCAGGTTTTCAAAGCTGCTGGATCCCATCGGGTCCTGATCACCATATACAATCAGAGTCGGTGTCTAAGAGAAGGGAAAAGAAGGAAGATTCAGCAGGGATCCAACCTCTTCAAGGCCGAGACAAGCCTTGGGGGGGGGGCGCACCCTAGCACACAGCTGGACACAGGGGCTTGTGGCACAGTAGTTTGCTAAGTGAACCAAAAAGCTGGGGGCGGGTGTGGGGGGGTCAGTTCCCCCCAATAAAGTCACCCCCTTGGTTTCCCTGCCCCAAGATGTGAATGATGAAGACTCGGAGATCAAACCTTCCTTGCCACCGCGGCCGCCCTTCCCCTCCCCGCCCCCAAACGGGAACATCTCGGCTTTCCAACACAAGGTACCTTCACTCTGGCATAGTCAGCAGCGGTGATCTTGTCTGTGCAGATAGGAGCCACCGGCACATAGCCCCGGATCTGGGAGCCAGGGGTGGTGAGGAAGGGCAGAGAGTACATGCCACTTAAAGAGGGGCTAATAACAACGGACAGGCCCAGTTCCAAGGCATCCACCACAGCCATCAGAAAGCTGCCAGGGGCCAGCTCCCCAATAGGGGCGGGAGCCGTTGCTTCCTTAGAACGCCCCAGACCTGCAAGAATATATGGGTATGGGAGAGATGAAAACAGGAGTCATGAGTGGGAAAACATGGAGTCTCTTCCTCCAGGAAGCCCTTTTAGATTAACCTCTCTGTGCTCAGCTTTCTTTCTTTCGTGGGACTTGAACTCAGGGCCTGGGCACTGTCTTTGCATGTTTTCACTCCAGGCTAATTAATGCTCTACCAGTTTGAGTCACAAGTCTGTGAGACTCTTACCTCTACTGAACCACCAGAAAACTGGAAGTGGTGCTGTGGTTCAAGTGGTAGAGTGCTTGCCTTGAGCTGAAGAGCTGAGCCCAGGCCCAGAGTTCGAGACCCACACGTGAAAAAAAAAAAAGGTAATTAAAGAACCTGTCATTTAGGACTACTGTGAAAACAAAGTTAACTGCTTACAAAGGGACTTGGCCCTGAATTGGCACAGGGTGTTGATCCCAGAGGATTGTGGCCAAGTTGGGGAGGGGAAGGGGAGGTGTGGTTAGCAATCCAACTTCCTCCTTACCTTAAACAACAACCTTAGCTCCCAACCTTTGCCCTGAGGTCCAGCCCATCCCACTGTGGGAACCAATCAGGCTAGGAGGACAAGGCCTGTTCTTGAGGCCTGACATCGTACTAGCCCTGGTATGATTTGGCCCAGGAGGGGATCCAAGTCACCCCTTCCACACTGGATACCAAGGGCTTTGGGCCTGGAAGGGTTGGGTTATAGACAGACAGTCAGGGCCTATGCATGTGAGAAGCTGACTAGGAGCCACCCCCAAGGTGCCAGGAGACTGGAATCTCACCTCTCAGGCTTTCCAATAGATTGCCAATTGAATATGTTTTGGTCCAGTCAGCTGAGCAACCATTACTGCCTGCCATGTACTACCGTGTATATGGCATGTATCATGTAGGATGTGTATTACACAAATAATCTCACTCCAGCTTCCCCAGGGCCAACTCCAAATGTGAGTGTAGCACTTTCCATTGTAGATAAAGAAACGGTGGCCAGGGGACAGTGGCTCACACCTGTCATCCTAGCTACTCAGGAGGCTGAGATCTAGAGGATCATGGTTCAAAGCCAGCCCGGGCAAGGAAAGTTCATGAGACTCTGATCTCCAGTGAACCACCAGAAAACCAGAAGTGACTCTGTGGTTCAAAGTGGTAGAGGGCTAGTCTTGAGCAAAAAGCACCTCAGGGACAGAGTTCAAGACCCAGGACTGACAAACAAATAAATAAATAAATGAAACAGAGGCTCAGAGACACAAGAGCTACCTTCCATACCCCAACAGTAGGAAGCAGAGCTTGCTCCGTGCACTGGTGGCTC